TCACATCCTGCAATGAATAGATAATGTTTATAATTTATGGGCTTGCAGACCCACTGGCTTCCACCAACTTGAAGGTGAAGAATGTCATCATTTAGCATTGATGGTCGTCAGAGATACCTCCCCCATCTTGCTGTAATCACTTCTCTGATGTACTACTTAAATATTTTAGACCTCTTTTGACATTTTTGTTTTATAAAACTATAAAAGTTAATGAAACTACTTCTGTGTTGGAACATGAAATTTGTGATAACCTCTCTTCCTGGGCCATGATCACTCAAAATGGATCCAGAATAAACTAATTCTTATCCCCTTTATGATGAAAATACTTTCTTCACCCAGATCAACAGCATCAAGTACCAACAGACAGAGAACTCCCAACAATCCCAAGGGTCTCAGATTGCCTTATGTATCTGAAAATAGAAAATATTTACCATTTTCCATCCAAACTTGCTTCTAGGGTTTGCTTTTTGGTAACTATATATTACCTGGTGCTGGGTCAGAGGTCAAGATCCAGCTATAATATATAAGTCATAGAAATTGCTTCTATCCTGCTTATCTTGTTTGTGTGTCTAGTACACCATCCCTTTTCACCTCACTTCCAGGAGGACCACTTAGAAGCAGAGCAAGATAAGGTAGCTATAGACCTTTTAAACAGGAGAATCTTCAAGTCCTATTTCTGTGGCTGCCCCAGAAGCCGAGTTCTAACTCTTATGCTCTCTTGTTACTAATTCCAATTGACCCATTTCAACAGTCCAGAAGCACATCCATGTGTACAACAGGAAGATGAAAGAAACTTGAAGGCACACCATATGATGTGAATTAGGACTTCCATAGCATTTTAATAAATTATTTCATTTTATATATAATAGAAATAGTCATTATTCCTTCAGAAACCTTTCTGAACTCATAAGTTCCATAACCAACATCAATTTGTGGGTCCAGCAGTCTAGGGATTGGATTTAGTTTCCTTATTCCAACTCCTCCCCTCTTTTCTCAGTTGCCTTCTTCTATCTCCTCTTGTGTGTGGAGTGAGTTTGAGGTGCATTTCACCCCTTCTTCTTTTCTTTACACTTTCCTTCTCCAGCATCACAGTCTGGGGACAGGGTGAGGCCCATTCTGAACTTCAGGCTCAGCTTCTCATTGACTGGGGGCTTGAAGGTAAAGTTTTGCAAAAGAGCAGTGAAGAAAATGAACAGCTCAGACCTGGCCAATTATTCTCCCAGGCAGGCTCTCTTTCCTGTGAGAGAAAAACAGAAGTCAGCAGACTCTGGTGCACTGGAGGGACTGGTGTCCCCAGCCTCCTACTGTAAATACTGAGCTAACCTTGGGCTTTGTGTCCAAATGATTCTGTTTAACACCTTCCCAATTTGCCCACTAGAGCCCCATTCAGTGTGTCCCACACTTTCCCCAGCCCAGGATATTGTTATTTTCTCAGGTGTCCTCATCTCTTGCATTGAATAATTTGTAGACAGTAAGTCCTGAGTAGGCAGCATTCTCACAATGCTGTAAGCCTTTGCTTTAGGTTACCTCACATCACACACATGTCACATGGTATACATATGTGTGTGTAGAGATATATACATTTCTGTCTACTTATCTACAATCTGTATCTCTCTTGAATATCTGGCTTCACATGTGTAATCTCTGTGGATGATCTCTGATGATCCAGGACAACCTTCGCATACCAAAAATATTTTTAGACCAGTATTCCGACAAAGCGACTATTATTATTTGGACCTGTTTTCCACTGTCCTCATGGGGTTTCCAACAAGGACATCGACGCAGGAATGATAACATATGACACTCTCTGCAGGATAATGTATTAGAAACTGCATTGCTTTTACTGACATTAATAATTGATAAATTTCTGTTGGTCATCTGTTTCCACTTTGTTACCTACCTAATACCGGGTGTTGAAGAAATCAAACAAAAGCAGACCTCAAATGTTGCAGAGCAAGCAAAAATTGTTATGATCATGTCTGTATCTTATGCAACATCTGTGTTTTTTGCCAAGATGTTTCATTTATCTATGTTCTCCACATGCTCCTCCTGTTCCCTACCATGAATGGCCAACAGCTCATAAATCCTGAAGACTCTCCTGTAAGAATCCACATACCATGACATGCAAACTTCGGACTTGGGGTTACTAACCTGACCTGTCTGCGCTCTCCTATGTGACTGTGACTAAACCACACTCTTTGTCTAGAAGCTTCTCATCTGGCAGTTATGTGAAACAATCTCTTTCTTCCATCTGTAAATGGCTTGGCAGCTATAAATTAGTTGTTCAGCATGGAGCATGTGATTTAAAGCTTGGCTTATGTGATGGATAATCTTGATTACTGTGATGGCTGGATTGAGAATGTTCTCCATAGACCCATGCATTCGAATGCTTAGTCACCAGGGAATGAAACTCTTTTGGGAAGAATTAGGAGGTGTGGTCTTGATGGAGGAGGTATGTCACTGGGAGTGGGACTTGAGGTTTCAAAAATTTCATCAGTCCTCTCTCTCTCTCTCTCTCTCTCTCTCTCTCTCTCTCTCTCTCTCTCTCTCTCTCTCTCTCTCTCTCTCCCTGTCTCTCTCTCTCCCTCTCCCTGTGGATCAGGATGTAAAGCTTCAGGCACTCCCCCAGGGCCATGCCTACGTGCTTTTTGCCATGCCGAACATGGACTGATTCTGTAATCAAGTGCTTTCTTTTGTAAGAGCTGCCTTGCTCTGTAGATTAGCTCATGGAAAATCATGAACTCTACACCAAGAGCTGTGGAGCCTCCATGGGACCAAACAAGGTCCTTGGCATGTGGCACACAGTTTTGTAGCTTGTCTGTTTGAGGGGATTCTGGCAGGTAGAGCAGGATCTATTTCTTGTACATAGGCCGGCCTCTTGGAGCCCATTTGCTATGGTGGGACGTCTTGCTCTTCCTTGATGCAGTGGAAAGGAGCTTGGTCCTGCCTTAACTTAATGTTTCAGGCTTTGTTGACTGTCCATGGAAGCCTTGCCCTTAGGGAGGAATGGATGAGGAGTGGGCAGCTGGGGGGAGTTGTTGATAGGGGTGGTAAGGTGGGAAAAGAGGGTTGGGAGGGAGAACTGTGGTTGGAATGTAAAATGAATAATAAATAAGTAAATAAGTGTTGCCTTGATCATGATGTGTCTTCACAACAACAGTACTGTAGTAAAGCCAGTGACCATCTTGATTGAGATATGCCTAAAAAATCCAAGGTTGCTGTGAGGTCATTTCAGAGATTCCTGGCATGAGGGTCATGGAAGTAAGAAGAAAGTCCTGTCCTGAGCAGGGCTGATAGCATCCAGTTGGCTGGCCTTTGACTCTTGGTAAGCCTGACTCTTCCTGAGCCCCTGTGACTGTGTTGCTGTGTCTGCTCATGACCTTCACAGTCCAGCTCTCTCCATCCCTGCTGGAGACTTTCAGATATTCAGGCATAGGATTCTTCCTAAGTCCTTTTTATTGCTAGACTTTCAGGTTTTTTGGATTTTGAAGCCACTAGTTACCTATTTCTCTTTTTCTCCAAGTTGCCAAGGGCCATTTTGTCACTGTGTACCTGTGACCGTGTAAATAAAACTAGTAATATTAATACACTGTTGGCAGAGCTGTTCCATGTTGATATCAGTGCTCATGATACTGAAGAAAAAATTCTTTTTCCATTTTTCCTTTTACTGCTCTCTCTCAATCCTTATTTATCTCTACTAAGGGTCTGTTAACTATGGGAAGTTCTACCCTTGAGGACATCATCATGGGTGTTATAATAAAGCACGCTGAGTAAGCCATGGGAGCATATCAATAAGCCTAACCCCTAAATGGCCTGTGCTTCAGTTTCTGTCTCCAGTTTTCTGCCTTGAGTGCCTACTTTGTTTTCCATCAGTGGTGGACTGTGATAAGGAACCCAAGTGAAATAATCCCTTTCCTCCACAAGTTACTTTTTGTTATGATTTTTATTGCTGCAATAGACAACAAACTAAAACAGGGGATTTTGATGACTGAGTAATATTGGAATTTTGAAATAATTGGTAGGGAAAAACCTACTCCTTCACAGTCACCACCCTCAACCTGGGGCAGTGCACAAGCTGAAGCCTTCACTATCACTTCTCTCATAGTGTCAGCCAAGAAAACATGTCCTCAAAGATGCATTGTCTGTGCTCATATCTGCTCTTAACCTGGAGATGGCAGTCACCCAGGTGCAGAACGTAAATGGTATGACAGTGTTCACCTAGACCGTGTAACTTGAAGTATGGAGTTTAGCTTTTGTTCTTTTGTTGCCAAGGACTTCATCAGCAAGCTTGGTTGCCACCCGTGACACTATTAGGAAATGATGGATAATTAAGTGGGTGTCTGCCAAAGGTTGGCTATCTGAGCTATAGCATGATGGGATATTAGAAATTCGGTTGCTTCCTTTCTCTGCTTCCTGGCCACCATGAGGCCGTCACTTTCTTCATACACACTTCCAGTGGATGCTCTGTCACACCGTGAGTGCTGTTCAATTACCACCAACAGAAACTTCTAAAAGGATGAGTCAAACAAAGATTCCTCCTAAGACGTTGTTCATCTCAGATACTGCTTCAGTGAGGAAAATGGACAGTCTGTGCTACAGGCTACTTATATACTTTCTTTTTCACCCCCCCCCAGAAATATGACCTATTAAGTGAAATAAGAGGGTTGACAAAGACTATCACAAGTGGACTTCACAAACCCTGCATTTATGTTCTATGACACCCCTTGTAAATTACTAATTTAATGTTATAACCTTGTAAATATTACATTAATATTACTTATATCAATATAATTATATAAATTGGCATTAATTATATTAATTAATAGAAGTTATTTATTAATTTTTTTAACTCTAACAGAGGAAAGCATCAATCAGGAGAACATAGGAATGTATGAATTAATATTCTATCTTCTGTGATAACAATAATAATTATACAGTTGGTTATGTTTTCCAAAAGAAGAGAAGCTAATATCTACAGCGGTGTTGTTTTTGATTTCTAGAGATGCTGAAGGAAAGCAGTTACATGCCAAAGATAGGATTGTGGTAGACAATCCAGACTGTTGTTTTGTCAACCCAGAGGGTGGTTCAGATCTGCCTCTTCCGGTCCTCATGGCATCTCCAGGTAACTAAATTTCATTCATCTCTATCAGAAACATTGAAAGAAAAACATTTGGCTTTCGTCTTCCCTTGGTTCCTTGTTATTTTAACTGGGACTTCACAGCTATTCCAAAGAATGTAGGCCTTTTACCACTACTGTAACTGAGACTTGTGTGGTGGTTTTAGAGTTCACTAGAGTCATGAGGTGACAGTCCAAGCTCATTTTACCAGTTTCATGTGCTTCAATTCTGTTTCTTGGGATCTTATACAACACCATATGAAAGCCCAGGTTAAGGTGTATGGCAGAACAAACCAGATTTGCTAAGCCAGTTATCTGACCTGGAAACTTCTGAGGATAATATGTTTCTTATGAATAATATAGTATTGGACGTTTGTTTTATATCAAGATTCTCACTAATACATAGGCCATGAACTCAGGGAATCCTAATGTAGAAGGGCCTATAACAGTTACCATGGATATGTGATAATGAAAGAACTAAAATAGGAGTGGAAACTTAAACCTGACCTGCCAGTTCCTTGTGCACAGGTTAAATAAGAAAAAGCTCTCTTCTTCATTGGAGTTTGCTTATCTGATCAAATATATGCTAATGCCCTTTTCCTATTGGATTACTTACAGCTATGCTACCTTGGTGATTGCCTGAGATCAATTTTCTGCTAATGAACCCTCTAATTAAGTCATACAATTTTTAGTACCAGAGTACCCATGAGTCTCTGTGTGTTTCTGTTTTTACTTCAGAGCTAGTTTGAATAGAACTTTATATTGAATAGAATATTTTTGTTGTTGTTTTGGTTTTTCTTTTCTGAGACAGGGTTTCTCTGCAGCTTTGGAGCTTGTCCTAGAACTAGCTCTTTTAGATCAGGAAAACCAACCAAGGGAAGCCAAAATTTCAGTCAGAGGCAAGGGTGAGTTTGAGTGACAGGAGTGGCCTGCAGTTGAGTTCTGTCTGAGAACACTGGCCTGCAAGCAACACCTCCTTACAGCTGCACTGAGTGTGGCATTTTGGAGATATTCAGATGACAGTGGAGGTCTCTAGGCAGAAGTAAAAGGAAGGAATGAGGCAGGATTCTGACTTCTTTTCTCCCCATTACCACTCACCCATTGAGAAAGGCAGAAAGGATCTCTCTTCTTAAACTCCCCATTCTCCAGAAAATGCTCTGCATTGAAGGTGTCTGGAGTGGCCCACTCTTTGGGGTCCATGTGCAGAGCAGTCAAATTGGTCAGGACCATGGTCCCCTAAAGAAGACAACAAACAGTCAAGGCTGGATACGTGGAAGAGACCCAGACAAGGGATGGGGTTCCCAAGCTCCTATTACTTTTCACACCATCAGCTCCATGAAAAATCCTGTCCTTAGTCCAGATCCATGATGGATTGTGTGTCCTTAGGCTGTTCCAGGCTTATCAGTCTGCTCTTTATTATAGAATACAGAACCATGGGAACAGGCCAGCATGTGCCTAGAGAGACAACATGGACCATCCATGGGAAGATAACTGGACATGGGCTAACAATCATCAACCTAGCTCCTTCCTCCAGGGACATGTGAAGAGGTAACCTGTCTCTGGGGTTAAATGAATGAATTGTATCTGTGTTTACAGAGTAGACTTAAACTTTCCAGGGGAACAATACATTCTGAGGCACTAAGACAAAGTGTTACAGATCCACAGAGGCCTCCTCTGGCTGACACTCTTGATTCTGGATCCGGGCAATTGATAATTGTCTAGGCGATTACATAAAAACCACCACCGAGACTAGCCATGAGGACATTTCTAAAGATCATTAACTCATGGCAGATGGACTTTCCTTGACTATGTGTCACCATCCCCCATGCTCATGAATTGCATGGAATAAATGGGGTGGGGGTTAGCCTCCTGCAGGTTTTTTTCTTTTTTTCTTTTCCTGACTACCATCATGAGGACTGATATTCTGACTCACTTCCTTGTTTTCACGCTGAACTGAAACCTTGGGCATTTATTTTGTCACTGTCAAGAAGAGTCTGACCTTTGTTCATTAAACAGTGAGCAGAAAGAACAGAAAGGATTGTGCCTTGAACAGAAAGAATGTGATGTGGTCAGGAGCACGCTCTGCAGAAATCCTGAGGAGATCCCAAGCTGTGCTGTGTACTTGGTCTGTGAACAGAGGGAATGCAAGAGGCATCCATGGAGAAAAGTATAAGAGAGATCTTTCAGTGTCTAAAATAGCAAGTTTTGGGCAGTACAAATAAGCTAAGTAGTTCTGGATCTAAACTCTTCTGAAGCTGGATATTGTAGTATAGAGATCTATGTAATCTTGATTCTCAGAGTCTCAACCATCTAGTGTTTAGTGTATGGACCAAATCGCTATGAAAAGGGGATAACAAGCACCCTCAGCACATGTATGTTTGGCAAACATCTGTTCTTATCTCTTTTTTTCTTATAATTAACGCTTCTTTTTTGCCTGGTTTCTTTGTGAGATACGTAGTTCTCAACAATGCAAAGCTGGATAACACCTGTGAGCACAGATGTGGCAAAGAATTATGGACACCTGTGAGGTCACATTGCATTGTTTATGTTATTTGCTAAAATCTAAGTAGATTCTACCAAGCAACCTTCCTTTCTCTACTCTCTATGCACATAAACAGCATTTAGACAAATTGGGGAAAGCTCTCTCTCTCTCTCCCTCTCTTTAGGAACAATATCTGTCTCTGTTTAAGTATTTTTGGGGGGCAGAAATACATGTTGTGTTTTAGATAATGTGAAGGATGGACAGGAACAATGAAACCAGGAGTGCAAAGTTACCTTACGCAGATGGAATCCAGCTACTGTGCTATCAGCTGTCACTTCCCTGGGAACATTCAAGGGGATGATGTTGCTCATCCTCTGCACCTCATGGATGACAGCATTGGTGTAGGGCATGGACTCCCGGTCAGCTGTGCTTGGCTGCCTCCCATGGCCAATCACTCTGTCAATCTCAGTGTGTACTTTTTCTGCAAAAAACAGGATGTCAGTGGGGTGGGGTGGGGCTCGGCTGGTTTCAAAGTTTAGTGCTTTATTCTGAAGGCAGAGAAGTTGTCTCTAAGCTGTTATCTCCTGACATTTCACCTACTGTTTTGTCTACAAAGAGACACCATGTTCATCAACCCCTCAAATACAGAGTTGGAAAACTGTCAACTCTGTAACTTTCCTTGTTCTTACAACATAACCATAGCTTTCCAGTGACCTTGAACTGAATAGCTGTTATCAACAGGGCTAAACTCACAGCAACACCCACACGGGTATTATCATTGGTTAATAAAGAAGCTGCTTTGGCCTATGGAAAGGCAGAATAGAGCTAGGCGTGAAAACTAAACTGAATGCAGGGAGAAGGAAGTCAGAGTCAGGGAAATGCCATGTAACTGCCAAAGGAGAAAGATACCTGATCCTTACCACTAGGTCACAACCTTGTGGTATTACATAGATTAATAGGAATGGGTTAATTCAAGATGTAAAAGCTAGGTAGAAATATACCTGAGCCATCAGAAAAACATTGTTGTAATTAATTTAGTTTCTGTGTGATTCAGATCTGGGTGACCAGAAAAAAAAAAAAAAAAAAGAACAGTTTCCACTTATAGTCCAATCTGATCCTCAGTAGTATTCAAATCTTTTAAAACTTAAATATTCATGTAGACATGCATTTTAAATTGTAACCCAAGATGCATATACTAGAGGACTGAATAAAAATATTTCCCATAGACTCAGGTGCCTGAATAATTGCAAGTCCTGGCACTGTTTGTGCAGCTATGGAATCTTTAGGAGATGCAGCGTTGTTGGAAGAAAATGTCACTGAGTTCAGTTTTCAATGTTAATAGCCTTGTCCCATTTCCAGCTTTATCTCTGCTTTCTGTATGTACTTGATATGTAATTTTTTTGTTTTTTAGTTCTTTACTCTGTATATCTGTTGCCATGCCTCTGTGACATTTATGGAGTCTTTTCTTGGAACCATAAATCAAAGAAACTCTTCCTTCTATAAGTTGTTTTTGGTAACAGAATTTGATCTAGTCACAGGAGAATAACTAAGACAAAAATTGTTACAAAAATGGGGCTGCTGCTGAGATGAACCTGAGCATGTTAGGATTTATTTTACTTGTTTTTGAATGGATCGATATTGCAACACTGGATTAGAGTGGTTCACTTCTGTCAGCAGAGCATAAGAGGTCATTCTATTAGCAGCCTGAAGCACAGTAGTGTAGACATAGATCATGGAGATTCAGAAGAATGTAAGGACTTCACCAGCAACTGAGTTGTAGGCCACTAATGTGACATTTGGATGAAGAATATGGTGTCCTTCTGCCCTTCCTCTAAGACCTTCCATGAGGCTGAATTGAAAAGTAATGGACTAATATCTTTGGCAGAGAAAATTTTAAAAAGGCATACCATGGAGGCTGTGGCATGGCGATTACTCCTTACTCTTAATTCCAAAACTAAAAATAGCAAATGTGTAGAATAAAATTGAAAATATATACTTTTGAAAGAAAAAGAGAAATAAAAAGCTTACTGTTTTCCCCTAAGCCCATAGTGGACAAAAGCCAGTCATGGTTAAAGAGTTTACTGCAATTAAGGAGAGGCCTATTGCTCTTCTTTGTAAAATAGAAAGGATCCCCTAATATAAAGACCCCACCCAGATAAGCTTCCAGTTTGTGGAAAGAGAAGGTCCAGATAGGCAAGTCTCCTGACTCTGAAAAACAAAAACCACTGCAAATGTGATTGAAAGGGCCAAAACATCGTCACAAAATGGCAGCTGAACTTTCCAGTGCCACCCTCATGCTCTGGGGATATGGGAGATGCAACAATGAAGGAGGGCATGATGATTCTTTCTTTGGAGATTCAAAGAGCTATTGAGGTAAGGTAATAAAAACCAGTGGAGTTCTCATTAGAAGTCTATAAAAAGCCATTACAGGAAGTTTTGAAAGTGAAGGTTGGGTTGCACTAGAATCCCAAAGATGTTGGAGAAGGTAGATCCATGTGACACCTGCAAAGGAAGCTGCAGACAGAGAGTGTAACCAGCCCTAGAGAGGGATTTATGCTGCAGGCAGCAAAGGTACAGGGGTGGAACCCTTAGTCCCATGAAACTAAATTTCTAGTCATAAGCCATGGAATTAAAGGATTTGGTATTTGACCTGTTAGGTCTTTCTTTCTTTGCTTTTATTTCCTTACTCTACCGCCATTCTTCACTGCTGGAATGAATGGGAATATATATTATCTGCCACTGTATGCTATAACTATATAAATTTGAGGGTGTTATAGCAGTTCAGAGTTAAGAGATTGCCTGGAACTGCAGAAGACACTGGATTTTTCAACAGTATTAAGATGGCTGAAGACTCTATGGACTTATAAAGTTATACCAAATGCATTTTGCATCATAGCATAACCATGTACCTAAAGGAGCTAAAGGCACAAATGAGGAAGATTAAACGTGCTGCACAGGCTCTAGGTTTTAAACACTTAGTCCTAGATGTTGGTGTAATTTCGGAAGCCATTGAACTTTTCTGAGACAGATCCTCACTGGAGGAAGAATGTCACAGGGGATGGATTTGAGGGTTTTTCTCCTTGCTCTGCTTCTGGTTTTCCCTTTGCTTTTGTTTGCAGTTGAGATGTGATGTCTCAGTTTCTGTGCAGGCTTCCTGCTGCCATACTTACTGTATAGTCATAGACTCTGTTGGTGGTCAAAATAAACTCTACCATATATAATAATAAAAATGTAGGTAATATACATATAAATAAATATATAAAAATACTATACATTTTGAATCCCAAAGAAAAAGAAATCTCAGTCAGTGAATTGATATACATACTAACATAAGGGTCTGATTTGATTCTCATAATTCAGAAAAAATATTTGGATATAGTGATATGCACTTCTGATCCTAGAGTACAGGGGAGGCAGAGACAGAATGATTCCTGTGTCTCACTGGACAGACAGTCTTGTATACTTGATGAGTTCCAGGACAGAGAAAGATCCCATCTAAAAAAGTGTAGGGAACCTGAATTTTCTTTACTACATGGAAGCAATGTTATCACTACCCTTCACTTTGGCCAAAAATAATTGTCTTGAATGTGCTACAGCGACTGCATTCTTCACCCATAAACTGTCATCACATTTGTAAAAATGTTTCATGACATGAAACATTTATTTATTTCAGCACATGAGTTCAGAAGTTTCAGGATATAAGCACTTGTTGTATCTGGCCTATGACAAGGCAGAACATTACACAGGGAGAGCAACACTGTAGTACAGCCAGGACCCAGATCGGGAGAGACACTGGAGACAAGTATATTCTTTTTTTTTTTTTTTTTTAATTTTTATTTATTTATTTATTAAAGATTTCTGTCTCTTCCCCACCGCCGCCTCCCCTTTCCC